AGTTGTTTCCAATATGCTGGATGTTTTTGGGGCCTGTGAGGACTCAGGCGCTACAAATACCCCTGTGTAAGTGGACAGTCCGAGACAAGAGACTCAGCTATCAAAGCTAAGTCTTCATGTATCGGAAAGTTCCTTTACTTCTTTGTTGACATTTAATTTTGAAAATACTTCTGTGACCTTGGGCATATTATCGAAAGCATTTGAACCTCAGTTTCCTTGATTTTGAAATTGGGATGTCAACACATTTGTGTTATTTTTGCACAAATTAGAGACACTGTGTAGAAGTATTGCTAAAGTAGTGCTTGAGACTTGACAGGTGTTCAAAAATGGTACCCATTGTTCATTTCCAAAGCTAACCATGTTCAACTAAACGATTGCCTTAATTTGGTAACGTCCCGAATACTTTCACAAATAGCCATAATAATAATAATAGCAGTAACGGTTGCTAAAATTTATTTCCTTCTTGCAATATACCAATTGCCCAGCACCTTTTCTGAGCACATTTTATCTCATATATTCCTCCCAACAAACCTATAAAGTCAGGGTTCTATTGTTTCTACTCTGGAGTTGATGAGATGAAGATGAAAAATTAATAGAATCATCTGTTTCTCAAATGAAAATTGGACATATTCTTAGGGGGGGTACTGTAGGCCATCCAAAAACAGGGTGAATATTTACATTAAGAAATGACCACAGGAGAAGACACATGGTCATTAATCCCCCTCAGAATACTCCTTTTTGCCTTGAGCACGCTTATCCCGTACTTCTTGCCACTTTCTGAAGCACTTCTGGAAGTGCTCTTTTGTGAGTGTCTCCATGAGTTATGACCAAAAATGCAGTGAATGTTACAACTGCATGACATCCAATGGAAAGGCAGGTTCGTAAAAACTTTATGGAGTGTCCTTGTCCCCTTTCTCTTCCCCAAAGTTAAAATCACCATGAAAGGTAAACGTTTTGAATTGATTAAGGACATTGAGGCAGCCACACTAGCACAACCAGAAACATTCCGGAAGGAGGACTTCCAGAATTGCTTCAGCAAGTGACAAGAAGGAGGGAGCATGTTCAAAGAGAGGGGGAGGACATTGAGGGGCATTGATGGTAATGTCTTTTACTGCAGCATATTTTAAAAAACGTAACCATGCCGTGTATCTTATGATATCACTTTGTATATACTGTTAGTCAATTGACAGTCAGTTGTAGATATTTATCTATTCAATGTGCTTGTCATGATATTACCCTTCTGCCATCACATCAGAGATAGTGTTTTTGGCACAACTGTGTAAACAATTGCTCCTTGCTTTGGAAGACATTTCCGAGGCTCTGACAGTGTAGTGAAGGGGAAGATCAACCTACAGTCATGTGGGCCATTGGGTCAGGTCTTTCTGGTGCACCAGAAGTATTGTTTCACGTCATTAGGTCATTCCTAAGAACAGGGGAATGGGAAGGGCTGAACTTCACACTAGCTTCTGGCATGCTAGCTTCATTCCAAGTAAGAGATGAGTTAATAATGAAGCCAGTGGGTTACTAACACCTCAGAGGAGAAATACTTTGCTTTCCTTGGCTTCTAGAAGGCCTTGGAGACATATATATATATATATATAGTGATACCGTTACATTTTATTACTTTTAGTCCTTGGACATTTTTCTTTTTTTTTCAGTTTTAAAAATTACAAGAAGGCAGAAGCACCATAGTTCCCTACTTGGCCACCTTTTCATTTTAAATATTTCTATGCTTACAGTATACATTCCCATGGGCCCTAAATCTAATAGGCTCTTTGTATGCGGTGATGCAGTTAACACAACATATTGATTTGAACTGTAAAACTCAACAGAAAATGCAGGCTTCACTTTGAAACCATTTGTCAGTTATCCATTTATATAAAGAATACTGCGTGGAGCAAAAATGTTGTGGTAAAATTTCATTGGACATCTTGGAGTTATCATTCCTAGCATAACTGTGTGTATGGGGCTGTTGACAATGAGATTTGATTTGGATAAGAGCTTATAGATTTTCACATAAAATGGGTATAGGGAATGACTTCTTCTTTTTTTTTTTTTTTTCCGGTACTGGGAATCAAACTCATGACCTCGCGCTTGCCAGGCAGGCGTGTGCCGCTGAGCTAAATCCCCAGCCCGGGAATGACTTCTTAAAAGAGAGTCATGGCAAAGGAAGTAACCGTGATTGCTAGTATATGTTCTCATTCGAACTCCTCAGACTGAGTCTGAGTCGTAACACAAAGGGGTGCTTCTTCCTGGTGTGTCAGCTTCCAACAAAAAGATCAAATAGCACCATTTTATCTTCGCATTAAGGTAAAAAAGGATGTCTTATGGGGTAGCCTGCCCAATTCACAAGGATGTAAAAGATAAAACACAGAACATCATACTCTCTGGCACAGTACTTGTCTCTGCTGGGTACAAGCCCACGCTTGGCCCTGCATCTCCAACAGATTTGCTTTGCAGTCATTTTCACCAAAGAACAACAGCAGGTGGAAAATTTGAAGTGCTGGTGGTTTCACCCATGACACTTCCATTCACTCGAGGATAACGTGGTCTTCGCGATAGGTATATGTACTGAATTTCCTTGCTGAATATATTCATTAGGTATGTCAAACATGTGCTAATAAAAATGATAGCCTTGTACTATTTATTTATTTATTTATTTATTTATTTATTTATTTATTTATTTCTCTTTAGTCCATGGAATCTCCTGGCCTGAATATAAATCAGCTTGACATTTAGCTACGGGATCATCCAGGTCCCGCAGGGGCTCTGCTCTTGCAGGGCCTCAGGCTGACTTCCCAGCTGGCTCTGAGTGTCTGTCTGCACCTTTTCCCTCACATCACCAACTGCTCTGCAGACTTAAGAGGATATTGATGACCCTGTCATCTGCAGAGCTGCAAAAAGCACATAATGGTAGTTAATGTGAGTGTTCTTTGCTTATGCTTATTTCTCTGATATCAATAAATCCTAAAGCCTCCCTCGAAGCCACCAAAAGCGACTGGCAAGTCATCATTCTGAATGTGTGTCCAGAGACAGGAGGAACACGTATTTGTTTAAAATATAAAAATAAAACTGGCAGGCTTGAAGGGATTAGAAATTTCTTCCTCTCTCCTTGTTGTGGTACCTCAGAGTACTTATGGCTGTGTCAAAGACTCAGGAGGATGCAAGTGATTTTTGGTCCTTTTTTTTTTTCCCAGAAAACTTAGAGAATAGATGATCAATACTCTCTGGATGACATTGCATTTTTTGTTCACTGCGTAAAATCCACATATTTGAACCAGAGGCTTCCAAGGACCATAGAATGGGTGCCTGCATGGTGCAACTTCCCGCTGCACTTGGCTTTTCCCTGAGTAGCACGTGAGCCATGTTAGAACCGACAATGTCAGAGGAGCGTTCCTGGGCAATGGCTCTATTACTCGGCATTTTATTTATATTAGTTATGAGTTCTCAGGAGCTGACTGGGAAGAAAGCAGTAAAATAATGGGAGAGGACTTGTCTTACCATAGATTGAATTTGATTTCAAAAGCTTAGTAGCCTCAACCCTCGGTTGAACACATTTTTAGAAAATCGTGGTGGCCATTTCGTGGAACTATGATTAAAAATAGAAAAATAAATACAGTTATGCACAGCTTAGTGACATTAAATGGGCTGAATAATTTTCCTTGAAAAATATAGTTTCATGGGGGAAAATCCTGATACAACTTGATTTCAATATTGTTTGCTTGCTGTATGAAATCAGTAGGTATTTAGATTGGGTTCTTTTTTTTGTTTTGTTTTTTTCCAGTACTGGGAATTGAACTCATGACCTAGCGCTTGCCAGGCAGGCGCTGTGCTGCTGAGCTAAATCCCCAACCCCCAAATCAGTTGGTATTTAGGAAGTATGCCTTGCATGACTGAATAATAAGAATATAGAAGAAATGGCCGCATGCTTTGTGGGGTTGATTTTTAAAATTTGGTTTTGATGGCTTCTTCTGGGCATTGGTCATCCACTCCTTTCTTCCTGCTTCTTCCACAAATTCAATGGAAATTCTTTAGAACTTATTTACTCATTCTTTCTCTTCTACTTCCTGGCGCCCTCTACACTTTTTTTCTTACATTTTCCCTCTGAGATTAATCAATTAGTATTTGTTATATTGTATGGTAGCAGGAGTTTCATTCTCTAAAAAAATGGGGAAGATTTCAGTCCAAATTGCTATGCATAGCAACTAATATAGTAGAATCTCACACCAAAAAGCACTTAGTGATTTTGATTACCGTCATCAATGTACATCTTTTTATTCAATGTATATCTTTAAAAAGGATGGGATTTAAAAAGGATGGGATCGTTATTTTCTTTTTAAAAACACAGCTACAATGAGATTACTCCAGAAAAAAGTATATCCATGTACTGTTTTTATTAAAATGTTTTGTGGTTTTGCTTATCTACACATTATCCCCCGACCTGTGCTTCTCCCCATTAACCAGATCCAGCTTCTGTGAGTTTTCTCAAAGATCCTATTTTCAATGTTATAAATTATTCATTTTATCATTCTAACATATGTGTAGAGTACTTATATGGGAAAAATATGAAATTCTGTGACCCTTTATCAGGGAGATGCAAGTTGGGGCCATTACTCATGAGGATTAGAGACTGTGAGATTCAGACATCCACAAGAGGTTCTATTTCAGTTCTTCAGAGTTTTATCTCTAATCTTGCAGCAAAAAGCTGACTTGCTTATAATAACTTCCTCATTCCTCTGCGCTTACTTTCAAGTAATGTTACATGTATATTGCTAAGGAGCCTTCTGTTGTGGATTGGATCTGCAATGTCCTCCCCAAAGTCTCCTGTGTTCGTGGTGGGCATTTGGAAGATGACTGGGTCACAGCGACACTAATCAGTGGATTAATCCACTTCTGAGTTCAGAGCTGAACGTGCTGTTAGGAGGGGTCTCTGTTGGAGGGGTGGGTCCTGGGGGCGGGGTCAGGAAGGGTAGGGCTCCCTCCCAGGCTCCTTCCTTTTCTCTTTGCTGCCTGACCCACATGATTTGAACAGCTGTCCTCCACCAAGCCCTTCCACCTCGCCCTGCCTGTCTCAGAGCCAGCTGCCTTTGGAGTGACTCTTCTAGAAACCATGGGCCAAAATAACCCTCTTCCCCTTTAAGTGGTAAGTGCTGGGTATTTTGTCCCATTGGTAGGAAAATGCCTAAGATGTCCTCTCCTTCCCTTCCTCTAATCATGTTGAAAGAAGTCTGCTTTCCTGTATCTCTGTCCTGCAAATCGGTGGAGGCGGCTATGTCTTGATATTACAGCCAAGCACCCTGACTTGACTTAACCTCTGAAATAGGGAAGAAGCCCTAGACGGGTGTAGTAGTTTAGTGAACTCAGGTTCTCATAACTAAGTAAGTAGTTCTACTCTGAGCAATTTTAAGAAACAACCTGAAGTCAGTAAACCATTAAGTCAAAGAGCCAATAAAAAAATTGGCCCCTTGACTGTGAATGTTCTTAAAATCCTTTGGGGACTACAGAAACCCTCTGCCCACTCCAATGTTTCTCTGGAATCAAGAATCAAATTTATTGCATAGACTCTCATTTAAGTTTCCAACTTAAAAAGGCTTGTTATTCATTTGAGTAGTTTGTGTTCATCAGTGTGTAATAACCTGGAAAGACTTGGCCTAAGTAAGGCTCCCAGTTCCCTAGAACCCAGCCTAGAGTATGATACGCTTTTGTGGTTGTTTTAGTTACATTTCTTATTGCTGAGACAAAATACCTGGCACCCACAAGTTCAAGGAGGAAAGATTTATTTTGGCTCACAGTTTGCAGAGGTTTCAGTCCACAGTCAGCTGGCTCCACGGCTGGGTGGCATGGCAGAGGAGAAATGGTCCATGGCTGAGTGGGAAGCAGCAAGCAGCAATGAAGCAAGCTTCCCTTTCCTTTTTATCCCATCTAGACACAAGACTTTTTAGTGGTGCCACCCACACCCAGGGTGGGCCTCCCATTATCCACACCCAGAGCTATGCTAAACCAATCAGTGGACTAATTTAGTACCACACACCCTTAATCCCAATATCACACATCCTTAATCCACATGCACAAAACCCCACCTGTGAGTGCATGAGGTTTTGCGGGGAACATTTAAATACAAGCTGTAACTAGTTTTATGGTTATGAACATGGGACTGAATTCCCTCTTATATGTGATGTAACCAGGGCATGTTTCTTAGTTGTGTCTTGTTGTCCTTATTTCTAGAAATGGGAAAAATTGCAGTTCACCTACTTAGATCCCTAGGAATATGTACTGATACATATGAAAATCTTCATAATTCCAGAAGCAAGAACAGGACCCCATAAACTCCATGAGCATGCAGGTTGAGTATCCATCATTCAAAATGCTTGGAATCAGAAGTGTTTCAGAGTTTAGATTGTTTTCAGATCTTGGAATACTTGAATACATATAATGAGATATTGTGGAAATGGGAGTCAAATCTAAACATATAATTCATGTGTGTTTCATATACACCTCACAGCCTGAAGGCAATTTTATACAATATTTTTAGTGTGTCTGACCTGTCATTTAAGTTCAGGTGTGGAATCTCCCACATGTGGCATCAGGTTAGTGCTCAAAAAATTTCAGATTTGGGAACAATTTGGATCTTGGATTTTTGAGTTAGGGATGCCCAACCTGTATCATCATCCTATGCACTAACTAAAGTACTGTACATGGTCAAAGACTTTCTCCTTACCTTGGTTTTTGGAGAGCTAGTTTTATGCTACACAAATGATAACTGTTGCTTCAACAATTTACATAGTTTCCTAAAAGTGGGCTGATCTGAACTGTATTTTTCTCATATGCCCAAGAAAAAAAAGAAAACAAACAGCAGTTATCTCTAATAGTACTACTGAAACAAATTTGACTTCAGCTTCCTAAACATACTTGAACTCTACAATTATTCTCATTTCCCACTTATAAGTTATTAAGAAAAAATTCTTCCTTATACGAAAGATTTGCTACATAAAACCATGATCTGCTCTTGGAAACCAAGGCCAAGTGGTGAACTCATTAGCTTGAATCTAGAGTGGAGTGAGTCTGGTCTGAAGTTTGCCGGTTGCTGGCAGCTGCGGGACCATCAAGATGGAGCAGTGTGGGAAGACAGCCAGGCTGACGTGGCAAGAACATTCCTTTCACACCTAAATTGTACTTGCTAAGGAATGAGAAGCATGTGAAAAATCCCTGTGTCTCACTGCACGGAGACTGAGGATAGACATCAATTATTTCAGTCTAAGCTTCAAATCCGGTAGCCATTCCTAATAACGGCAAAACATAAAATGCACAGCTAAATTTTCACTAGCACTTCTGTTACTTCTCTTATTTTTCCTATATTTGGATACAAATTGGAAAACCAGACAAAGGAACTCGGAACCATAAAGTTTTAAGTTAAGCTGAAACTTAAGGGTGTAATTGGAGTTTTTGCAAACGGCAAACAGAAGGCATGTCACACACCCTTTTCCTGCTGTCGGCCTGAGAGGGGAAACTGGAGAGGATTTAAGAAATGATATTGACTCTGAAGAGCAGACAGTTTTTAATGTTTAAAATTTCCTGGGGACTGCAGTTGATCTGACATTCCTACTATTTCAAATCGTGTGCAGAGTAGTTTGGAAACTAAGAAAATTATTTTTATGTTTTAAAGTTTTCCCTTATGAGATAAACTTGGGCTGCTTAATGTTTTTTAGATCATACTGTCTAGGTTAGGTCATTTGTTTCCTACTAGGACCAACCCTGGTCTTGAAAAAACTAGGGAAACTTTGATTTTTTTTCCTTTTGATCATAATTTCCTCTTATTTTTACAGGAAAGTTGTGTCTCATAAAGCATCCTCTTTTGACCATTCAAGGTCCTTTGGAAGAAAGTTCTGTACAGTGTGTGTGTGTGTGTGTGTGTGTGTGCATGCACATTTAAATCTCTTTCTATGAAGAGATATTTCTGTCTTTTTTTTTGTCTTGTTGAGACAGGGTCTCACTATGCAGTTCAGGCAAGCCTTGAGCTCACTTTGTAGCCCAGGCTGGTCTTGAACTCGCAATGATCCTCCTGCCTCAGCCTCCCAAGGGCTGGGGTTATAGGAGTGTGCCACCACGCCCAGCAGTGAAGAGATGTTTCTAGACCCTTCCTTTATTGCTTATTGACCATTGGAAAGTATTCAATGCCACATATGACCTTTGAAAGGATATTTCCAAAGGCATTAGCTGTATCACCTACCTCCACAGCAGGTTTTGTCAGGAGGTGTTATTCAAAGAGGAAGTATTAATTCTGTCAAAGGATTTGCAAAATTTACATCTGCACATAGCTCTTAGAACCTGCTGTCCATATAAAGAAACTATGGGGTTAAAGTAAAAAAGAGAAGATGTAGATGGAAAGATTTAAGGTATTTGGAAAAATCCCAAACCTACTCAAACTCAGCTTCTAGGACACTGAAATAATAAGTGAAAGAGGATTCTTTTATGTGTCTACTGTAAGTCCTTGACTTACAAACGAGGTCCATTCCAGGAGAACATTTGTAAGTTGGATTTGTTCATAAGTCCAACAAAGAGGGTCTTACATACCTTTCACACAAATATACCATGTATTTTGCCTTGCGTTTCCTAGCAGTCCCCTCTGCATCACCACTGATTTTCCTCTTGCTTCCAGACACCCTGGGCTCTGATTGAGTCTGATTGTACTATGGAATACTAGCACACTGTAGAGTAAGTGCACAGCAGCACAACTGTGCCCATGTCCAGCAGACGTGTGAGCTACTTCTGCGAATTTGTTCATGTCTATGAATATTCATAATGGGAGGTCCTTTCATACCCGTGAAAGTCCAGAACTCCAACGTTGTTCCTCAACAGAAAAACATTGCATATACACAAAGTCCCTGACTTGCCAACATTCATTGCATTTTGGTATTTTTTCTGTAGGAGAAAGTAATTCTAACCTTAATTCTTTTTGATAAGTGCTGGAATAGAATTAGAGAATTCAATACAATACTGTTATCATACAAGAAAGTTAACATTAATGTTTTTCTCAGTTCATATAATTTATTACAGTTAGCACACAGTTTAAAAATTCACCAACACACCAATAGTACAAAACTACACAGCATTATAAGTTATTCCCCCCTCAGAAGAGTAAAACACTATGATTGTCAAAGCTAGATGTCAGAACATTAATTTGGGAATATAACTTAAATGATTCCCTATTTAAATGTCCTTAATTTCCTAAAATAGTTTTAATAGTTTTTAAAAATCAAGATCCAATCAGGTTAAAATATAGTATTAAAAATATAGTACTTAATCTAGAGTGTTGTTTTTATTTCTTTCCTCCCTACTCTATAATATTGTATGTTTTTGAAGGTCAGGCAAGTTTTCCTGTGGAATGTTTTATATTCTGGAGAAAGTAATATGTTTGATACGCTCTTTGATAATTTAGAGTTACAAAGGAAAAACAATATGAACTTAGTTTGGTAGATTAGTGAAGATTCACCAAATTGCTTTCATATTAACATAAAAAACCCAAGAGATTTAGATGAGACAGAAGGAATTTGGCAGAAAATATAATAGTGCTTTGGGATCACAGTGTTTCCACATTTACTGGCTTTTAGATACTCTAAAATCAAGTGAAGGGAAACTGATTTCTTAAACAAGTCATCTTTCCTTGGTGGATATGTTTAGCAAGTGATTGGGAATGTTGGCTCAGCACTTCCATGAGAAATTGTGGTTAAAGAAAACAGTCATTTACATAATAGTGCGCACAGAGATCTGTCGGGACAGGTAGATTTACTTTTCATATACACAGGTTTGCTTTTTTGAAAAAACATATGAAAAGTCAGAAGTGAGAAAAATTATTATCGTATATCAATAGCTTATCTCTTTAAAACATTTTCAGGTTCAAACAGGAAAGCACATATACGTATAATTACATATTGTGTATACATGTACGTAAATACGTGCATGCCCGTATATCACGTATCTGACAATTTCAAATCTAAACAACCGCAGTACTGGCATTACTATTACTAAGACCTCTCACGTCAGGTTTTTTTTGTACTGAAGTGAAAAGATGGTTTGTAAGTAATGTTGACAGTGTTCAAATAACCTCTTTAGCTCTTTTTCCATTTTCCAAGGAATTACTCAGCATCTACAGTGTGTCAGGTGGTGTACTAGGGGCAAGATTGCAAAGGTGAACCACAGAAAGCAATCCTTCTCCTCAAGGGTCATGGTGTGTGGGGAGAAGCAATGGCATTTATATAAGGTGCCATATGCTTGCCCCACAGGGACCCTGGGTAGGGATTTGCCCCACAGAAGACACAGTATATGTTGACTCAGTGGAAAAATGAAGATCACAGAGGAGGAAGCATCTAGTAGTACATCTGGGGAGACAAAGAAGATTGCAAAAGGAGGGGAGGCTGGAGCAGTGACTTAGAGAATGTATAGAGTGCAGTGCCAGCCATAGTTCCAGGCATCTATCAGGGGATTATGGAACATGTGCTCCACAAATAAAGGGGATCTCTGACATTTTTTCAGCTTTTTTATTGAGCTATAATTCACATACTAGGCTATTTATACAGTTATCTTGGACAATTTAATAGTTTTTTAAATATGATCATAGAGTTTGTGGCCATTACCACAATGAATTTTAGAATATTTTGTGCACTCCAAAAAGAAACCTTATACCCACTAGTGATTTTTCTCTAGTCTTCCCTGTTCCCTGCAAATCCCTACCCAGGGTCCCTAATTTAGGATAGTTTGGGTTCAAGTTTTGGATTTTATGATGGTATAAATGCTGTACACATTCAATGGACACCATGCTTCAAATTTTGATCATTTCCTGGGTAGTAATATAAGGTACCACACTCTATTGGTGCTGGGAAGTGGTATCCAACTGGGGCTCCCAGTCAGCCATGAGGTCAAGTAACTGACACTGTAGTATATTGTGTTGTCAATATTTTTAGGGTACAGGTATTCAATAAATTACGTGGGATATTCAACTATAGGATACTGTTAGTGTCCTGACACTATTTAAGGTGGGCTAGGCTAAGCTACTCTGTTCTTCAGGGTAGATGTGTAGTTGTTTCTTTAACTTATGAAGCTTTCAGCTTTTGATGAACTTACTGGGACCTTGCTGTAAACAGAGAAGTACCTGTGCTCTATTTTCTGTCTCTAAGGATTAGACAGGAAATTATATATTTCATGAGCTTAAAGGCTATGCCCTTGATCACTGTTTGAGACTACATAGCCCTCTATTTTTTCTGACTCAAGTAAATGTTTCATTTCCTTTTTTTTCCATTTCACATTATAGACCACTTCTCTTGATACTCACATTTGTGTCAGTTTATG